GGACCAATCATATTCAGCATATTCTGCATAACTGGTCTAGAGAAAGGGATAAAGAGGGAAGTAGCAAAATTTGCAGATGATAGAAGACTGTTCAAGATAGTTAAGACCAAAGCTGCCTGTGAAAAGCTTCAAATGGATGTCACAAAACTTGGTGGGCAACAAAATGGCAAATTAATTTTAATGTTGATAAATGCAAAGTAATGCATATTGGAAAACATAATCCCAACTATACATGTGAAATTATGGAGACTAAATAAGCTCAAGAGAAAGATCTTGGAAAGAGAATTGGAGTTATTGTGAATTGTTTTCCAAAAATATCTACTCAGTATGCAGCAGCAGTCAAAAAAGCAAACAGAATGTTGGGAATAATTAAAAAAGGAATAGATAATAAGGAAAATATCTTATTGCCTCTATATAAATCGATAGTATTCAAGATGTGTATGCCCACATCTTGAATACTGTGTGCCAATGTGGCCACCCCATCTCAAAAAAGATATATTGGATTTGGAAAACATTCAGAAAAGAATAACAAAAATGATTAGGGGTAAGGAAAAGTTTCCATATGAGGAGAGACTAAATAACACTGGGGCTTTTCAGTTTGGGAAAGAGACAAATAAAGGGAAATTTGATAGAGATTTATAAAATCATGATTTGTGTGGAGAAAGTGAATAGAGGGTTATTTATTCCTTCCCATAAGAGAAAAACCAGTGGTCATCAAATAAAATTAATAGGTAGCAGGTTTAAAACAAACAAAAGGAAGTTTTTCGTCACACAATGCACTGTCACCCTGTGGAACTCCTTGAAATAGGATTTTGTGAGGCCCAAGACTATAACAGGGTTCAAATAATAGCTACATAAATTCATGGCCGATAGGTCCATCAATGTCTATTAACCAGGGTAGGCAACATTGGTGTCCCTATTCTCTGTCAAAAGCTGGCAATGGGTGACAGGAGAAGGATCACCTGCTCTGTTCATTCTCTCTGCAGCTCCTGGCATTGGCCACTGTTGGAAAACAAAATACTGGATTAGATAGACCTTTAGTCTGACCTATTATAGATATTCTCATCTTCTTATGTTTCCACGATGGTTCCAAAGCGGAGGGATGTTGGTTCCATTGCTGGGAAGCACCTGAATGAGAGGAAATATAAAATTTCAGACCTTTTCATATAAAATATCTGAGTGAGTCTCTGTCTGTTCCTCTGTCATAATTAAAACACCGTTCTAGTAGTGTGGAGTGGGGACACTGGGATAAACATGAAAGCCTTGAATCTCACCTCTCTGATCCTTTTCTCTGCCAGACACTCTGCCATCCTCACTGGAGAGAGCAAGAGGAAAATCCCTGGGAGCTTTCAAACCAGGTGAGTTTGCAGGTGGAGATTGTATTTATCTTCCTGAGGGTTGTAGCTAAAGTTACCAGCCAAATGGACCATGACCATGACATGCACAGCCCTAACACTAACATAGGGTATGTCTACACTACCCCGCTAGTTCGAACTAGCGGGGTAGTGTAGACATACCCTTAGTTATCAGTGACAAGATCCATGGAACCAGGGGGCCCAATACTTCCTAATATTGGGATAGTTGGAGGGCTAGGAGCCATGTTGACCCCACATATTGCAAGCCCTGTGTTGGGGCAGCTGATCAGCTCCCCTCTTCCTCAGGAAGGGCAGTAGCCTCTTCCCTGTGCTGGTCTCTCCCAGTAGCCTGACTCCAGCTCCTCTTCCCTAGGCTCTGCCCCCTGGCCAGGCCAGAAGGTAGAAATGGGCTGTCCCCTATCAAGCTCGAGATGCCCAGAAGAGCCCTGGCCCCTCCACCTGCCCTAGGTGGCACACTCCAAGAAGTGGGGCCATGGACCAGGGGCTGCTCTCAGGCCCCCAGTCCTTGACCCCAGGCAGGTGGAGGGTCAGGGGATCTCCACAATGACCAAGGCTCCCAGCCTGTCCGGGGATGGGACCTCAGTTGGAAGAGGAGGAGGGGGTGGTTATAAAAGGGGTGGGGCAGAAGGCTGTGGGACCTTGTGCCCCCCACTCCCACAATTCTACCAAGGGTCCAGAATTCTGGGGGGCAGTGTCCCAAGCTGATGTTACATGAACACACCTGACACCAGCTGTGGGACTGAGTTTCTGCCCAGGCTGCTGCACAGAAACCCTCTCCCTGAACAGCACCCGCATGGAGCTCCCTGCCCTGAGGCTGCCCCATCCCTCTGCTTTACCCCAGTGCAGGGCACCCTCCCCGCATTGCTCTTCTCCATCTGGCCTTTCCTCTGGCCAGGGCTGGCCTCTCCCATTGGGGCAAGTCCCTGCCTTGGGGAGACGCTTGCCCTGTGATGCTGGCAGCTCCTCCCTTCTCTTTGGGCTGGGGCTGGCCTACCCAATGCCCAGGCCCTGCTCTCTGGGGTGAGGCAGCTATTCCGCCACGCTGCACCCTCCCCTCTGTGCCCTGGACGGGGATTGGAGGCTGCAGCAGGGGAGGGATTTTCCCTCTGCGGTTGAAAGCTGGTACCTGCCTCCTCTGCCCCTGCCTCACAGAACCCTCCTGCTCTGGGCCTGACCCTGGGGATGGAGCAGCCCGAGCTGGGGGGCAGGAGACTGCAGCCTCTGTTCACAAATCAGAAATTATTGAAGTGGGTCCCCATTGCCCAGGCTGAGACACTGCAGTGACAGCTCAGCTCAGTCTTAGGGCCCAGGACACAGGCAGCTCCCTGGGGTCCAGGCCTGTCCCCATGGTCATCTAGTAGCCTAGGCGGGAAAGGCACAGACTTCCCAAACCACCTGGCATGGCCCCACCCACATCTGCCCCCAGAACACCTGCTGTAGGCATACCAACGGCGGAGTGTTGCTGCCCCCAAATACCTGCTGTCCCTCTGTTCTGGGGCCAGGGAGGTTGGAGCCATGCAGCCTCCTCCCTCCCTGGTACTCCAGGCCCAGGGAGGCTGAGGTGCATGTGCACTTGCCCCCTTCCTGAGGGGGGCAGGATGTGCACTCGGCACTGCCCCACCCCCTCTCCTCCCTGTGCTGGGGCCTCAGCAGAATGGGTGGGGCTGTAGGTAAGGCTGGGGGACTCACTCATCCAGCCCCTAGCTACAACCACTGCCCATGCTTGCCCCTGCCAGATCAAGGCTGCTGGGGACGGTGAGAAATGGCCTCAGACGCCCATAGGGCTGGGCTCTGCCCTTCACACTCTGATTCTCTCTCCCCAGCAAATGTGACTCTGGATCCCGACACGGCTCATCCCAAACTTGTTCTCTCTGAAGATGGAAAAAGTGTGAGACGAGCAGACACACGACAGTGGCTGCCCGACAACCCAGAGAGATTTGACACTTGGGTCTGTGTGCTGGGCCGTGAAGGATTCACCTCGGGGAGACATTGCTGGGAGGTGGAGGTGGGGGATGGGGAATTATGGGCTGTGGGGGTGGCCAGAGAGTCTGTGAGCAGGAAGGGAGGGATCAACCTTAGCCCTGAGGAGGGGATCTGGGCTGTGGAGCAGGATGAGGAAGAATTCCGGGCTCTCACCTCCCCTGCGAGCCCCTTGCCCCTGAGCCAGACTCCCAGCAGGATCCGGGTTTGTCTGGACTGTGACTGGGGGCAGGTAACATTTATTGATGCTGGCAATGAGGCCCCGATCTTCACTTTCCCGCTGGGCTCCCTCCCTGGGGAGAGAATCCGACCCTGGTTCTGGGTGGGGTGGCTGGAATTCTGTTTCAAACTGTATCCCTGAGATATCTGGGGGGGGCCTCACCCCCTCACATTCTATATCATGTCTCCTTGTGGACTGTCTATGCTGCAGTCTCTATGACCCTGGAAACTGCTGGAGGTTTCAGTTCTGTGCAGCCTTTGGCCTATTCAACCACAGAGAGCATTGAGTGCAGAAATTTTGGTGGTGTTCAGAATGCTGAGAACCAAACTCTCCCCAACCCTAATTCTCCTCACTCCCTCTGTAGCCTGTCCTTGCCTGCAAATCTATAACTTTTCATTGTTTTCATTCTATTCTAGCAGTGACGCAAGGACCTATGAGATCTCATCCTGTAACAAGCTAGCTTTGGCAGTAGGGTAGATTAATTATAAGTAAGACATCGTATATTTGATATTTTTTAAATATGGCAGTATGGAATTAAATATATAGAATATAATATTAAAGAATTTAATGCTAAATATCAGAATGTGCTGGATTAACCATAAAGCCATTGCGCCGACACCAAGAAACCAACATGCTGACGTACAATACAGCATGCAGACAATTCTCTTTTCAGTATACAGAATATCGTACATGGTATCTGATGCTAGTCTCACAGGTGCAATGTCATGACATGTTATCTGAGTTTAAGATTGGTAGGCCCCTAACAATACTTTGACTTGAAGGGGCAAACATCCTACTTTCTCAGAAAAATAGGAATGTGTTAATCAAAAACACCCCTTTGCATGAGGCCACACTGTAACAACTCATGCATATTCAAAGAGGTGTCTTAATTTAATTCTCCAATCAACATGAACACGCACAAATATCTTGGGCTGTGGAAATCTGTTTTTGGCTTTGAGGGTTGGATCTTAGCGGATGTAAGAAGGCTATAAACTGGCACAACCAATAGAGTGAGACACATTTCATGATCATCATTCTCACTCCTTCTTTACTGTCTCTCTAAACTTACATTTCAAGGACTATTTGAGGCTGCTGTTTTTTTCAGGAAAAAAATTTGCAAATTGTGCTCTGCAATTTGTGTAGCTTTTTCCGCTTGCTTTTCCAGAAGAGGCTTTCCCACCATTTGGCTGCGTCTAGACAGGGCCAACTGGTGGAAAAGCCTCCTCTTTCAGAGGAGCCCTTATTCCTTGTAGAAAGAGGCATACTGGGCACCTTGAAAGAGTACATTTGCTATTCCACTAAAAAAAGTGGACGAGCAAATGCATTCCCTGGACATGGTGGGGTTTTTCTGGGATAATCCCAGAAAACACCCACAGTGTAGACATAGCCAAAGTCTTCAGTTTCTTATGCTATCATAATCTCTCATCTCTCCCTAAAGCTATATGTACACTGGAGATTTTCTGGGATAATCTCAGAAAAACTCTGCCACATACAGGGAATGCGTCTGTTCTTCTGCTTTTTTTCACAGAAGAGCAAATCTGCTCTTAAGCCTATAGTGTAGACTTAGCCTTAGACTCCTGCTATACCTGTAGGGTGTGTCTACACTGCGCCACTTATTCAGGAAAATCAGCCGCTTTTCCGGAATAAGCTGCGAGCTGTCTACACTGGCCGCTTGAATTTCCGGAAAAGCATCGACGCTGTACTGTACAAAATCAGCTGCTTTTCCGGAAACGCTACGCTGATCCCGCTCGGGCAAAAGTCCTTTTTCCGTAAAAGCTTTTCCGGAAAAGGGCCAGTGTAGACAGCTTTTCCGGAAAAGCAGAAGAAACGGACTTCCACGTAACCCAAGGGCTTAAAGAGCGCGCACGCTACTGGCCGCACGTGGCAGGAGCCCCCCGGAGACCACCCTTCCCAGCTCTGCCACGTGGCAACTGTGCTGCCCAGCCACCTCAGCGCAGGCATGGCAGCTCCAGGTGGTCATCAGCCACCGTCACCCGGGGCAGGGGAGGAAGCCCCCAGGGGCCGGAAACGCAGGGCCCCCTCCTGGACCCCCAGGGAGCTGGAGACCCTCCTGGACTTGTGAGAGGAGAAGGAGGGTCTCCATGACCTGCAGTCCCACCGCCGGAATGCAGAGCTGTACACCCGTCTGGCACGGAACCTGGCCCAGCAAGGCCACCCCAGCCGCAACTGCGAGCAGGTGCGCTCGAAGGTGGAGGAGCTGCGG